AACATGTGTTGTTAATCAGGCACTTTAATCATTGTGAGGGCGATAAAATAACTACCTCTAGATGTTTAGTTCTTACTTCTTAGTGCATTTGTTTTTTGAGGAAAAAAAAGGTGGGGGGGGGGAAGGTTCAATTGAGTCATTCAAAGTAAACAAATAAGTTATAGCCATCTTTTGTACAAGAATCAAGTCTAAAACCCACAATGCTTTCTTCATGAACATGATTCATCGGTCAACAAAAGCATGTATATCGTGCTTAGTGGAGGATTTTTCTATTTGGAATTGGTGTTTTTTTTTCCATGTATTGGCTGCTAAAGTATTTAATCAGGACACTAAGGGTACAACGAGAACATGAATTGTATCCTGAAGTGAATCAGGGTGATAGCCAAGGACCAATTGATAGTTTAGGTAACATAAATGTCTGTCTCAAACTTTAACCATTATAGCCCTTCGGTAGGTAGCATATGATATTGTATGTCTGTGATATACCGCTTCTGAAATGGTTCAAAATGGTGCAATTTCTGGAGGACAAAATCATTATGATATGCCACACTAACATAGATCTAAGACTACTATATGGAAACCAAAACAATCAATCCAAGCATTTGCACGAGAACTTACTGATGGGAATTGAATTGTCTTTCATTATAGTAGGCGTAGACATCGAGATTAGGAGTTATTTATCATTTTACTCTTTTGGGACTTATTTGTTATTTTTATTATTTTTTAGACTTATTTGTCATTTTGGAGTTTGTATCCCCCCTATATATATAGGAGTGAGTGTTTGTCTAAGATACTTTTGATCAATTATTGATTATTGATTTTATTTGCTCCCAGCTTCCCTCTCTTTCTACCGATTTTCTCATCCTCTTCTTCTCTTCTTCTCATCTCCACTTCTTCCCCTTTCTTATCTACATCAATTTGGTATGAGTGCTCAATTTCTTTTCTAATCACAAGCTCTAAAGCATCGTCACTGTCCACGATTCATCAACAATACCATCACTGTTCATTGTCATCCCAACCATTTACATCCTTCTGTCAAGCAGTGTCTTGAAGAGAAGAAGAAGGTTGCTGGTTTGTCATCAAAGTTTCAACCACTGTTTGTCAGAAGTTCAGTGATGATTCACTGTTCATCACCATTTTCATTGAGCTTATTCCAATCAAGTTCTAAACATCCAGACTGGTTCTCATCCTTTTCCACTGTTCATATTCATGAGCTACAGTATTTTGCGAACCAATGGAGTATACTGGAGACCATCATTGGGTTGATCTTTTGTCAACAATCGTTGGTGACCTTCGGAATTGTTGCTGCTGCTTTTCGAGCATCATCATTGCCGCTGTGCTTTGCTGGAGATTGAACAAAGTCTACACTATGTGCTGCCGCTCTTGGCACCGTCACAAGTTGCTAGGTTACACTGTAACCCTTACGCTTCGTGAAGAAGAAACCTTCTGATAGGTTTTAAGTTGGAGCAACCCGATCCAGATCCATTTGATTTTGACCCATCTTCTTAAGAAAAAAGGAAAAAAAAAATTGAAGAGAAGAAAAAAAGAGAAAAAGAAAAATAAATAAAGAAAGAAATGACAGGTTTGTGCCTGTAGTCTCAAAAATTACAAAAATATCCCAACAGATTTCAAAAATTATAAAAATATCATTCAAAAATTAATTACAGAAACATCCCTAGCAGATCATAAAATTGCAAAAACATCACCCCAGAAGTTCCAACAATTACACAAACGCCACAAAAACTAGCAGGATCATCCTCTAAATTGTCGAAGTATCCTCTTGGAGTTGTATCTACCACCCGGTACGAATTCTCTTCGTTGAGAATTAGTGACTAGTATTTATATTTGTTGGTAATGGTAAGTCAAAAAAAAAAAAATCATTCTTTACCCAAACTTTCTTTATTTGTTTTTCGCACACTGCATTCATAACTTAGCTTACTTGGTTCCTTATTAACTTAGCAACAAGAGGAACCTGCAGGAGAATGGGCAGCAAATCACAAGTCCAAGTTAGTCTTCCTCTTCCCTCTCCTTCTCCTCCTTTGGTCCTCTCCTTGACCTCGTTCTCCTCTTCTCTCTTTCTCGAACACACTAAAATGTCAAAGGCTAGCCTTCAACTTTGCATTTTGCCTTTTGTTTTTTTTTTTTTCAACCCAAATGACGTAGCTTTGTCTTTTTTTTTTCCATTTCAACCCCTTAAGTTTTTAAAATAGCAAAAATAACTCCGTCATATCCTGCAAGGTCCTTCCTGTGTCCTCTCGTATCCCCCCACGAATTCGAGTTGTATCCGATTGAAAAAATTCAAATCTACTATGCATGACACTTCTACAAGTGTCGGACATGTGTCCAGTCGTGTCTCATGCGTATCCGTGTTGGACACGTGCCCGACACTGCCATGACGACCTCCCAACGAGTATTATGCTTTCTAGGTTCCATTATAGCTCTTATCACAGAGTGCATGAAAAAAAGGAAAGCTTCAATGGACTTCTACTGCAGCTAGAGCCTTTCAAGACATTAAGCACAAGATGAAACTGGCGTCTGTCCTATAACACCCAAACTTTTCTAAGGTGTTTGAGGTTGTTTGCGATGCATCTAGTGTAGTGATAGGTGGAGTTTTTAGTCAGGAAGGTCATCCTATCCTATCGCATATTTCAGCAAGAAACTCGATGAGGCTAAATAGAGATACTCTATATATGATAAAGAGTTCTACGTTGTTGTGAACAGGGTCACCGCCATTGGAGGTATTATCTATTGTCTCATGAGTTTGTGTTGTATTTTGATCATCAAGCATTGAAATACCTTCACTCCCAAAGAAAGTTGAGTTCTAGGCATGTTCGATGGGTTGAGTTCTATAATTAAAGATGAGTATGTCTCTTGCCCTGACTTTGATATCATTTTTTAGGATGTTTAAGTGGAAAACCGTCATGAGTACATTGACTTCCTCTTTAGAGATGATTACTTGTTTAAAGGGTAACGATTATGTATTCCCCGTACTTCACTTAAAGATTTCTTGAATTGGAAATTACATGTAGGAGGCTGGGCAGGACACTTGGTAAGGATAAGACATTTGCACTTGTTGAGGTTTATTAGCCCACTTTGAGGCGTGATATCACTAGGATAGTGTCACAGTGTCGCACTTATCAGTTAGCAAAGGTTAAAAACAAAATATTGGGTTGTATACACTATTACCAGTTCCACACACAACATGGACAAACGTTAATATAGATTTTGTCTTAGGTTTGCCTAAAACAACCCATAGTCATGATTCCATTCTAGTTGTCGTGAATCGGTTTTCTAAGATAGCCCATTTCATTCCTTGCACTAAGTCTACTGATACCTCACATATAATAAAGTTGTTCTTTAGAGAGGTCATCCGACTGCATGGGTTTCCTATTTCCATAATGTCTAATAGAGATGTCAAGTTTGTGAGTTACCTTTAGAAGACACCTTAGAAGCTTTTTGAAACTAGTCTTAAGTTTTCTTCTACCTTTCATTCCCAAGCTGATAGACAAACTGAGGTTGTAAATCATAATTTGAGAGATTTACTTAGGTGTTTAGTAGGTAAAAAAAAGATAAAAAATTGGGATTTGTTGTTGCCTACTACTGAATTTGCCCATAACAACTCTGTAAAGAGGTCGACTGGTAAATGCCCCTTCGATATTGTTTATGGCCATTCCCTTAGACAACATATTGATTGAATGTCTTTATCTTTTGATTCCCGTCCTTTAGAATCTGTCAAAGCCTTTGTCCAACATATCCGTGATCTACATGCTGACATAAGACAGAAAATTGCATTAAGTAATGAGAATTATAAATTGGCAGTTGATGTTCACCGTAAGAATAGGTGGGAGATTATGTCATGGTTCGTGTGCGTTCTAAATACTACCCTAAACATTCCTTCAAAAAGTTATATGCTCGAGCCACTAACCCTTTTCGTATTCTTCGTAAACTTAGACCTAATGCATATTACATTAACTTACCTTCTAATATGAGTATTAGTCATATTTTCAATATGAATGACTTATCATGGTACTTTTGAGCTTCCCATGTTGCCCGTAGGCGTTCCTATTGGTGGAGTCGCTTCGTCGTCAGCATCACCAACAATTTTGGTTCTTCCCTCATTTACGCCACAAATGCATGATCAGATTGCAGATATCCTTGAGGATCAAATTGTTAGCTCATCTCATCGCGTGTATTGTCGCTATCTTGTTTGATGAAAAAATCGTCCTAAGACTAATGCTTCATGGAATACTAAGGAAGAGTTTCGTCGGCTTGAGCGTAATCTTCTAGAGCATTATCACCATCATCTCTTAGCCAAGGGGAAATGATGAGAATCGAATTGTCTTTTGTTTATAGTAGGTGTAGACGTCGAGATTAGGAATTATTTGTCATTTTGATTATTTTTGCGACTTATTTATCATTTTGGAATTTGTATTACCTCTCTCTCTCTATATATATATAGGGGTGAGTGTTTTGTTTAGAGATACTTTTGATTGATTATTGATTTTATTTGCTCCCAACTTCCCTCTCTTTCTACTAATTTTCTATCCCCTTTCTTCTCCTCTTCTCATCTCACTTCTTCCCCACCCTAATCTACATCACATAAAATATGTCATCCTTACTTGAACTTTAAGTCTAGAATTGATGCCATATCAATTGATGCAATGCTAATTTAACATTCTGATTAAACACCTTTCTATTTTATTCTACTAATTTATGCGACTTGAATGAATATTTAGAAGGCTTTTGTTTACATTTTGAACTAGAGGCAAAAGATGGGCCAATATAAACTAGAACACCCAACATTGTACACCGTAAAAAGTGCAAATAAAACACATAAGCCGAAAGAAGTGAAATCAATCAATAGTTCCTTCTTCAAGTAACTTTTATGACATGATTTTATATATATTTGTACACTCAAATACCTCTTATGTGCCACTCTCTTACTTTAGAACGTTATCTAGTGAAATTTATCTAAAACATGGCACAAGGAAATCATGAGTTGTGGTCATAAATTGGTCAATGCACATTTTTTAAGGGTCCATAAATCTCTTTTAACCTGAAATTGCACCATGCACTATGCATGGTGAGGATGCTTATGTGGTTATAGTTTGAGTTTATATGCAGGTAAAGCTATACTGCATGGTGCTAATGCATTATTCAAAGATCTCTAGTTCACTGCCACAAGAAGTAGGCTGACTCACATTGATGGAGTTTGCCGATGTCTGCACTCTTTCTGCAGCCTTCAGTGCAAGCAACCCCCCATCATCATGACCAATAAGAACAACGGAAGAGAAGCCCATCGCCGAACAGAAAGAAAGAAGCAGGTCAACCTAGACATGCCAATACCAAAAAAAGATAAGAATCCATATAAAAGCCTAAAAAAACACCACAATTATGAAGCAATGAGTGATGACCAAAAAAAAAAAAATATGAAGTAATGAGCCATATAAGCAGAGTAGCGAGACTACAAAATCTACTTGCAGAAATGATCCACTGATCCATAGGTGCCTTTAAACATTGAATGAACATTGTTTTAAATGATCCACTGATCCATAGCTGCCTTTAAACATTGAACGAACATTCTTTTGTATAACAGGAAAATATGTACATATGGTCCAAAAACATGGAAAAAACTGGAATAGCTTAAACCCAATATTCATGACAAGATTATATAGTCATTCTATAGTTGCTGAACTTTATGAGACCAACCACACTAAAAAACGTATTGTCAAGGCCCTTACCGTTCAGATTGAAGAAAGATTAAGAAGCATCAATTTTCAAGTAATCTCAGGCGTGGTACAGGAAGAGCTCCCTCCTATGTTTCCAACAACAACTGGCAAAAGAATGATTTGAAAAAGAGGGCACGGGAAAGGCTTCGCAGATGTACTGACTAAACAAAGATAGATTTTTTCCGGTTCAATAGTGTAACAAAATGAAAGCATGATGAGCACCTCATGCTTCTGCAGTGACCTATGCTAAAGTTGATCTGGAAGTGTTTACCTAGGTTTACAGGGTTCATTTCTCCAGCTATGCCTATACTCCACATATAAAGCTACAGCAACAAAGGACTATTCCTTTTGTAAAACTTAAAATATTTTCCCCAGCACATCATCGAAGATACTGTTCAGAGAATTCCAATTGATTATGTATGCAATGATATGAGAAATTGATGCCCAAAATGTAGAAAATTAGGTCCAAAATATTAGCACTGTTTCCTGGGGGAGTAAAATATATCCTCCCATTAAATTCGTCCAAAAAATAGTCCCCATGATAACAAGGAAGATCGCATGAAAGCAGTAAAGCATAGTCCTATAACTGATAGCTCTCAAATAACAACAAAATCGTGTAGCCGTGTACGCATAATTTTGGTTACTCAAACCATCCCCTTGTTGAATTCAGCAGATAGCTATGCCATATAACTAGAGAGTGTGTTGAGTGTTTTGCTCCAACTATATTGTGTTATTTACTTTCTGCATAATAAAAAACTAAGGTTTCAACTGGATCACTGATCTTAAAAAGCTTCAAGAAATTTTAACTTTGTTTTCATCTGGTCTAGAAGAGATACCCATGAACCATAAAACTTTGTTCCAAAGTGTTGTTCCATTACCTGATTTTCGAGCTTGTAAGGGTTAGGCAATTTATTTTCCTCCCAGTCCTTCCGTCGTGGCCTCGAAGTCAATCCCCAACCAGGTCGATCAAAAGTAGCAACCGTGCAACCAACCTGTCGGGCCAGCGTACCCATCACATGCCGCCACGAAAAGACTCCACCTCCAAAACCATGCACTAAAACAATGCCAAATTGGTGATTTGCTTCCAAATCTCCCTGCATTGTTGGAGAGTTCAATTTAGTAGCTTCAGCCTCCTCAACAACTTCATCTAGGCTCAAAACAGGCATTTCCTCAGACAATATCGGAGAAGTTGGAGAACCCTCTAATAGTGGAGCATATAGAGAGGAGGTATGAAATTGATTACTAAAGCTCCTCTGAAGATGATATTGGCTTCTCGGTAGAATATTTAGTGAGGGTTGGTCAAAAGTTGTGGAAAACAAGGAATGAGGAAGTGAACCAGACATGCTAAGCTTGTAGTGAAGGGTAAGTCCTTGGCAAGCCATGAACAAGCTGTCAACATCAGCAAGTAATCTCACTGGGAGATCCCCTTCATAGTGACCTGTCCCAGAAGGTTTTCGTCTCATTTCACTGTCACTTTTTGGTGTTTTCCCTGCAGATGGAGTGGGAGATCGTGGAACCTTCTGATAGCCAGAGAAAACAGTTTTGCAGCAAAGAACCTGTCAATTAGATAAACAGGTTATTTGAAGCTCATATGAGACATGACAGAATTTACTACAGAAGAAATTTAGAGAATGAATATTGAAAATTCGTCCCGGTGAAGCACAAAGAGTCACCACTAAAAGCCTAATCAGAGGCAGACACACGATGATCACTTACAGCAATACAGCAAGCATTCATTTTAGAAACAAACATGCTTATCTTTTTTGGTAGTAACCATATAGACCTTTTTTACTGTAAATTTTCTTTGCGCTCAAAAGATTACGATGATTCAGACAACCTAATTCTGTCAATCAAACCAAAAATGTGCTTGCATGAGGCATATATGCATACAGAATAAGGGAAACTAAATAAACAAGACAAAAATATTTATGCACTTACTGCTTCTGGGTCAATTCGGTGAAACAACAGCTTCCTACGTGATTTGCAGCTCGTTCTATAAGCAATGACAGTATGCCCAAGAGCAAAGACCACAGAAGAGAGAAACAAAACAGGCATCCCCCATGACTTTTTCAAATGAAGCTTCTGCCTTGAGAGAGAAGATGAAGCCTCAGCCTCAATTTGAGAATTGACAGTGAAAACACATGCCTTAACTGAAAGAAGAAGAATTGAAATACAGGAACAGAGAGTCACAGTCCCGAGATATGGCCCATTTGAGAGAGAAGGACCATCACACATTGAATAAACACCTGTTCTCATAAAAGAAAACATAAAGAAATAAATTGATTTAGAAAGAAAACATAAAGACACAAATTGATTCAGAAAGAAAACACACAAATTGATTCAGAAAGAAACTCTAAAGACATATTAATTTAGAAAGTGAAAACAATTCATTCCACAACCCCTTCAATTTTTCACCTATTTACTGTTTTGTAGTGAAGGATTAAAAAATACAAATTTGTGTTCGGATTTTTCATTATTCCAGCCAGCAGAAACAACACCCTAGTTGAAACAGCTTTCTGAATTTATGTGAATCAATACAGCTCAAAACATAAAGTCTCCAGATTTTTTTCTTTCAGTTTACTAAATTTCTTAGCAAGCAGATCAAACAAATGACACGATTCAGATAAATTCCATGGACATGGATAAATACTTTCACTATTACATAAATCTACAAAGTGGATGAATAATTGAAGTTCTAATCAAAGATAATTCTTCAAAGAAGCGTATAAAAAGCAAGCTTCCGAGATAATAAAAACTGCTAAATGCACACTTTTGTTGCCTTCAAGGATGAGACTTCACACGACTTCAATGTTTTCAAAATTCAATAGAAACTACTTTCTTATAATAACAATAAAAGTTTGAAAAAAAAGACCAGTTTTAAATCAGACGAGCCATTTGATCATAATAAAAAATTCAATAAAAATAACAAGAAAATTAAATTCAAATTCAAAATTCATACAGGTGATAATGAGAGATCTGACGACCGAAACGAGAGGAATATCTGTTAGAGAACTCCTGAAAGAATATCTATGCAAATGTTCTTGGAAATTGTAACACCTCACGCACGTAAAGTTCGAAATCAACACACAGGGCACCAATACATCTCCAATCGCTACCAAAACAGGAGCCGATAGAACCAGCAGTGACACCACCATTACCACCATGAAATATATCGTCCGCACACATCTCCGTACCTTCTCTAACCCACCCTTCGCCGCAGCCATAATCGAGCCCTCCGTCAAATAAACAACCAATTTTCTCTCTCTTCCTCTTTCCTCAAAATCCTTTAAATTCTTCGATTGCAATTAATTAACGTTTAAGTAGGACTTCGAGTGATCTTCGATTGAAAACAACATGAAACTCAAGCCGATGCAACAAGAAACGGCGTAGAATCAGCCATCTGGGAGACAAATACAAATCCACAGCGAGTTTCAAAAGTACCGGAAGTGCTTATTTCAGGCAACGTTGGAAGACGCCGTGGCTAGGGTTTCAAAATAGGGAAGTATCAGATGAATTTGAGAGAGAAAATCAAAAAAACTTTCTGGTTTGAATTGAACAGAGGCTCTGGCTTTCTTCGGACTCTCTCTCTCTCTCTCTCTCTCTCCCCTCTGTTTCTCACCCTTTATTTGTACTAAAAGAAAAGAAAGTATAAAAAAGGGGTTCTTTTCATCGGTTAATCAAAACTGTAATGGCGGAGGAAACTTAATTAATCTGACAATCACTTTGATTCTTTTCGGCCTTTTGCGTACCTGGCAGCTTTTTGCATTGACTGTACTGCCCTTGTCTTCACTTTTTTATCTTTTGTGTATCCCAACAATGTGGTGTACCTTGACTTTTTCTATGACCAAATTGCCCTTCAGAAGACATTTGCTTACGTTAGCTCCGGTCGCAGGTTAGTAATAACCCGAAAGGTCAAAAAGTCACACTAGAATTAACTAAGAATGAATAATTATACCCATGTCAAATTTATGTTGCTAAAACAAATTTGAAAACTTATGAGTAAGACGGTTCTCGATGAATAAAAATTTACACCAAGTATATTTATCTAGAGCAATGTTATTGTAACATAATTTATTGATTTAATTCACTGTAATTCTTGGATTGATTGTGAAATCTATTAAACATTGAAATTTGGTGTTAATCGAACGATTATAGTCAAACTACATCATAAAGTATTTTTCATCTACATAATAAAGTAGAACGAAATTTGAATCTAAAGACATAAAGCTGTTGAGATCGTTTTCGTAATAAAATAAGACTTCATCCAACAAATAACGATATTTCAATTTGTCTCAACTTACTGACATCTCAAATCATATCAAAAGTTTTGATCCAATGCACCAAATTAATCTCCAAAAAAATTATTCTGTCCAATATTTTGAATTGTCTCAATCAAGGGATCTCTATATATTCTCGCACCAAAACTTTCCTTCTTATTTGCTCTGATCTCTCCTCGTTACCCTTGTGAGTACTTGATACCCAAAATCGACTCCAAAATTCCTTTGTCGCTCACAATTTTAAATCTCGTGCTCTAATCTCCTTTTCCACACCCCATTTTTTAGTGACTTCTTGTCTCCCCTAATCCACATCTATCTCTCCCTTTAAAGGTATCTTCAATTTTGACTCAAATTTAGACTTAAATAAAAAAACTCGAAAAAATTATTTCAACCTTCGACTCAAACTTATACCAAATAAATAAAGACTCATTTTTTTACTTAAATTCTTACCAAAATCTTTAATAGTGATATTTTGTCATCTTTTATATATCAAATTGTCATTTTTACTCTCTTTTAAATTTAAATTTGTCATTTTTTAAATTTGAATTTGTCCATTAAAATCATTTATATCAAATCAAATTTTTTATTCAAATGTTAATTTAAGTTTGAATAAAATTTTGAGTCATTATTAGAGATGCTCTAATATCCCTCTATCTCCTCTTCATCCCTCGCGTTGGTCATCAGCTAACGGCAACAGATTCATCGCCACCAGCAACAATGCTAGCCCAAATCGCCCAACCCTAGGTATTTTTCTCTTTCTAACCCACCCTCGCTCCATTTCCATCTCTCTTACCGTCTCGTAACACTTTCACCTTAGTGTCTTCGTCTTTCTCCCTCTCTACTCTTGATGCACTCATACCACTATCACACACCACCATTTCTTCCTTTTCCCCCGCAAAACTCAACCACCCGAACCTCCTCATCGCCACCATAGCCATTGCCCCTTTTTTTTCTCCATTTACTCTCCACGCACATACACAACACACATTTTTTGTCGACTAGTTTTCTTTACATGAATTGATTTTTCATTGTTTTTGACAAATTGAAAGCCTAACATGAAAACTTTTTTTTTCTTTCAAAAAATAAGATGAAAACTATTTTTTGGAATTATAATGGCTGTTGTTTTAATGTATACGGCTTTGTACGCGAAGTGGTGATCATGTTAATGGACGTCAATTGTTTGAAGAAATGCCCCAAAGGAACGTCATGTAATGGACAACTCTCGTACCCCCAACAAGTTAACCAACCATAGCCACTGGGTGTGTGTGTATCTTTCAATTTCTCTACTACGCCAATAGCCCCCAGGTCCACCACACCGTCTTCAGCCTTTCATTCTCTACTTGAAACCCATATCAAATGAATAACTATGTTTTTTGGAATTTTTTTTCTTTTACGTGTTGTTAATTTTTGATATATCTGTGAACTTATTCTCACTTTTTGAAATTCCTATTTGTTGTTGGTGAAATGAATTTTTGGTACTTTTGCGTTAGTCTTTTATTTTGAACCTAATGCGTGGTTTCATAATTTTGAATTGAAAAGGTGTCAAGGTAAATCAGGCAATATTTTTTTTTCTTATGTAGTAAAAGTCTAACGCACTTTTAAAAGTTATTCCCATTTCAATGCTATTGGTGCCGATTATGTTGTTGTGTTAGGAAAGTGCTTGATAATAGTTAGAACTAAAAATCTAATGATGGAGACATTTTTTTTAATTGCAAATGATGGTGTGGAAGAAAGAGTGAGGCATCATGTTAAATAAGAGTGGTAAATTGTTTTTAGGGATGTGAGGAAGAAAGAGTTGCATCAAATAGGGAACAATAGAAGTAGAATAGCCATGTGTTTGTATCTTTCAAACCAATAGTACACATAAGCATGTATAGTAAGTAGTATTACATTAGGAATTTTTTTTCCCCATAATAGTGTTACTTTAGTTAAAACGCTTGCTATTTTTTCTTATATTTTTCAAGTTTACTTATTGGAGACATGCACAAATTGAAGACGATTCACAACCTTCAAAAAGGTCATAGACAAATTGATTTCTGATTTTACATTTAGAACACTCTTCAGTTAGATTTTGTCACAGTTAGTCGTGTGTATTGCAAGATCTATATTTCCGAGTTACACTTTTTATTATCTATTTGTCTCTTTTGGTTATACTATTAGCTGCTTGACTTTATTCCTAAAATGGGATATAGGTTTTGATTGACTGATTTTTGTGGATCTTTTGAGAATCAGAATTTCTTGCAATTTAATTTTTTTTCTTCAATTGATTAGTGTGATTGTATTTAGTGAAATGATTTAGCATTACTATTAATTTGTTGTGAATCAAGACAGGTGATATATATATATATATAGTCATTAATGCACTTTGGATTTACAATTTTTATTTATTTTTACCTTTCCATCATTTACCTCTAAAAAAAATGGATCCATGAACAAGTAAAATTGTGTAGTAGAAGCCAAGGGTAATTACGGAACAGGAAATACCAAGCAAAGGTGAAGTAATTGGAGGAACACGGGCGGCAATGACGGAGGCGCCCTTTCTCTCTCTCTCGCTCAAAGGTAGTGCTGCGCCGCCCGAGAACGTGACCGTTAGCCGTGTGCGTTACATAGGGGGCCGAGGAGAAGCAAGATCGTGGTCGGGACCATAAATAAAAAAAATCTAAACAATATTTGGTCATGGGTCACGTCGCTAATTTGGGTCCCACTTCTCCAGTTGTCCTTTCTGTACTTGACACGTGTCACTCTTGCAGCCTGCCCGGTGCCTTGCCTAATAGACTAGAGGGTGGGGTTGAGGCGGTAACGGTCACATTTTGAAGGGTTAATGACACTTTTGCTCTTGATAGATTTTCAAATTTCTTACTTCACCCAACTCAAATATTGGAAGTCTTTCTTTGCACTTTAAGTTTCTCATTATCTTATAACAAGAATATCCGTCCCCCCTCTCCAAAAAAAAAAACTATTTTTGAAGTGTACATTAGCAGATTATAATAATGTATTTTATTGACATCTTGATCTTTTAATTGACACAATCTTTAAAAAGTCAAGTATTATAATTTTTGAAAAATTTAGGTAGAATATGAGATTTATAATATTTGAGAGAGGAAAATAAAGAATTGTACAAAATTTGAGGGATCAATGTGTGGTCCACCCCGTTTTTAAGAAGATTCTACAATTAGGGATATTAGCATTAGGCCCCGCGTTTGGCCATTTTCGATTTGTCCGTCGGCTACCAGAGGAAAGATGCCGAACTTTGTACGTCACCGTTTATGTTGCTTTAAGAATCAACGCAGGCTTTTTCGTGGAACAAGACGATTGAATGGTCTTTCTCACATACTACTACAAGACAAGGGAATTGGTATTCCATTCTATTCTTAGGCTGGGTTGGGATTTTTTTGGCTGATGGGTTCAGTCCTAGTCCTGTCTCTTACATTCACGAGAGAGACAGAGATTTATATGACCCTGATAGAAACAAGCCAACCACGGTCAATGGACACTCCTTTAGGGAAATTTTTGAATAAGTAGTGGTGACGTTGTTTGACTACAATTGGCATTTTTTAGCATGACAAAAACAATAAATAGAGATTTATGTTAGGGGATTTGGGTCGTAACAAGTTGACTAGTAGCCATTATGCTAAATAATGAGTAAAAATGAACCAAATTGGAGCTCTTTGCTCCCATAAAACCTATATTTAACTGATACATGACTCTTTGTAAATGATTGTGATGATACCATAAATTACATCTCAGCAAAACTAAAAATTATTGAGCTGTGTAAGATCGACTTGACCTAGTCCAAGTTGTCTAGCACCTGAATCACCAAGCAATATCCGAATAACTCGACTTCAGTCAAGTCAGTTCGGATATCATAACCAGAAGAAGGGGAAAAGGTTAACAAACTCATCTTATCTTAAGCAGCAAGCCAATGTCTCAAGAAAACCAACTCACCCCTCTTAGAAGTTCACGTGTGTTTATGAATATGTGATTGCCTTTAACAGTCAGAGATTTCTGAACGATTTTAATGGATATTGTGGGAGGGGGCACCAAATATGTTGGACAAGGACAAAAGATTACTCATGTATAAATAATAGAAGATGCCCACGAAAAAGGGGATCGATCCCTCTGTAAATAATTTGCTCCTTCTTCGTCAGTATTGAGAATATACACAAAAACTTCATTGATAGTAGACTAGTTTCGTTATTCAACTTGGTAAACCACTCGTACTTTTATTTGCTACTCGTTCCATGATTGTTAACTCCCATATATTTCACTCAACTCACAGTTCAACGCTTTGACTTTCTCTTATCCTATTTTTCACA